AGGGGCGTCAAAATTTTCAAATTGCTTCTTTAAGGGGGAGGGGGTGATTTCTTAGATTTTACTAACCTGGGAGGGGTCATTTTATCATCATGGCTTGGGTGAAAAATTCCCCAAACCCCCCTGTTGGTAAAAAAAGACTGTTCCCTAACTGACAGAGACGGAAATTTTTTTTTATTGGATCGAGTTTGATTGTTCAAACGGATTTTTAAAATTCATGTTTGGCAATTTTCGTGCTACCGAATTTTGGCAATTTAAAATTGTAATACACAGGATGCATAGCTTCTGCCTTGGGGCTTACCGAACAATCAAACAAACAGAACTTACTGAAATGCATCATTGGGAACAAATGTCTTGGACTAAAAACCATCTACAATTGAATACTAGTATTCGCCATTGAAGAAGAATCCTTTGGTCAGACGAGAGTCGATTCTTGTTGAAACTGGTTGACGGTAAAATTCGTTTGTAGAGAGAGAAAAAACATGGCCTATAGAGGCGATAATGTTCTTGGAACAGCGTTTGGAGAGGGCGGTGTAACAATATGGAGATGCTTTTCACATGACTGCAAGTTGGAGCCTCATATGCTTGAAGGCACCCCGAATGATAAATAGTACCTTGATGACATTCTTGATAGGATTGTATCGCCACATTTTGATGGTCATGTTATGTCCTAAAGTCCTTTCTTTCAGGATGACAACACTCAACCTCGTCAGACAAGATTTTAGTCTCTGATGCATGATTTTTTATTATTAATTGTTTTTTTTTGGCTTTTAACTAACTTTCAGTAACTGCGAATACTGTCAAATCGTACTTTCGTGTTAATTTGACCTGTTGACACAATTTGTAATGCATTTCTGTTATTCAATGTTTACTTATTTTGTGTTATATCTCGTTTTCCTATTTTTTTATATGAACCACCTTTGATAAGTATTTAGTACGACGAAAAACATTTCACCTCTGTACTCGTACTATGAATAAAAAATTTATTTTGTAAAAAATGTTTCTGTACTCCTAACAACAAAATTATTATATTTAAATTTACCTTTGTACCTTACTTTATTTAACGCCATTTTGTCCTAGGTTAAAGTTGTCTTTTTTGACATTGAACTTCTTTTTTATTTATATTGTGTCATAGATCAAACTTATTCGTTCAGTGTATATTTTTTTGTTTTTGTGTATTTTATTTTTGATCGAGTTAAGCCATTTCAATTGATATTTTATAAGTGTTTCTCGTTTCTCGTTTTTTGTATAGATTAGACCGTTTTTCTGTTTGAATTGTTTTACACTAGTCTTTTTGGGGCCCTTTATAGCTTGCTGTTCGGTGTGAGCCAAGGCTCCGTTTTGAAGATCGTACTTTGACCTATAATTGTTTACTTTTTACACATTGTGACTTGGATGGATAGTTGTCTCATTGGCACTCTTACCACATCTTTTTTTCTATATTTACTTTTTTAATTCTAAAATATGATACATCGCGGAAAAAATGGTAGTTCTTAACTTTTGTCTGAGTGTATGTTATAAACGAATAGATTGTTCTGATTTTTATACTTGCTAGAGATATGGTATTTTTCCCTGTGTTTTTTGTTTTTGTTTTTTGTTGGTTTTTTTTGTGTTTATTGTGTATTATGTTCATTATGTCACAAATCGTTCATGATTTATATGATAGTAAAGCATTTGAATTTGAATTAAAAGTGTGCATCATTTTCATATGGTTTGTGGTGGTTTTCAGATTCACGTACTGTTATGTAAAATACTTTGTCCACGTAAAGGAGTGCATCATTTATTTAAGTTTCGCTAAACATTACGTCAAACAAATTACCCAGGAACGTTGTCTAGATCACTTCTTGACTAGATTTATCAGATGCAGTGGAATAGGGTGGCACAGGGCTAGAGGCTGCTAATGTTTTGCTAAATTATACTAGTAGCTGTAACATGTGTAAGTCATAAAAATCTTTACAAAGCAAATTTAAAAGTATAAGAGTATTTTTTTTTTAATTCATTTTATTTATTAATTTGACACATACTTAGTTTTCATTTAAATAAAGTTTAAGATTTAATAAATTTTAATCATTTTTTTTCTAACCTGCTGATCCTATTGTCCAATTGAAATGAATTGTTTTCTTTAAAACTAATCGTTCGTTGCATATGCCCGTCAAGTTATTTACAACAAATTTGATAAAAGAACAAGACATGACAAGGGAATTTCTGTGCATATTTCTCATTTAAACTTTTTGAGAGAGAAAAATCGGTTACAGGTAGTTTAGTATTCATGACGTCAATATAATAGCAGTGATGAACTAATAGAAAAGTTACTTCCAGGCGATTGCCTACAAATCATAGAGCTTTGTGTGAAACAAAACGGCATGTTTCTTGGAAGACAACAACTTTATCGTCAATGTTTATATTTAGATCTAGCGTGCCTTGAATATTTCTCACTCACAAATATGAGCAAAAACTAATCAATTAATATGTTTTGTAAAAGTAAAATCATACCCAGTCAATCACTAAGAAATGTAAGCTCTTTTGTATTGTTTTAATAGCTTTTTTATTGGTTGATCGTCCATGCAATGAAGTCTCATCAAAGTATCAACCTATCTTAAAAATAAATTACAAAAGAATTTTAAATATCAAGGTTTTATATTTCTATTCGAGTTGAATGTTGTCACTATCGCCGCTTCACACTTTTACCATTTTCGATGTGAAAATGTATACATGTAGAAAAAGGTAGGGTGTCATTGTCGTTGCTATTTTGTCTCAATCAAAATTCAGAATTATATGTAACCAACAACGGCTATCAAGGAAATTCTTGTTCTGGACACAAACAGGTGCAGTTGGAATTTTGTTACATCATAATGAAAATTTTTCAAGGGTAAATTGAAGTCCTCAGACTCACATTTGTCATAAAGTTAATTTTTTTAAACGTCCATAACAGTTACTGTGCATATATTGTGCATGGTGTGCTTTTTATACAATAACCTTCATTTCCAGTTCGATAGGATAGGTATGATTTTGATCAACAATTGCCTTGAAAATAAAGCATCTAATATACAGCTAAATGTAAAATTAAAGAATGATACACGCTTCTTTACATTCTCTTTATAAGATGGCTTTGTATGAAATGTTCTTCATACGACAAGATTTTGAAAAGTAAAATTGAGAATGGAAAGAACACTTTTCATTCCGACAGGAATTTTGACTGTGTACTAATAAAAAACGACAACTAAGCATAAATGGGGGTCTCGGTGACCGTGTGGCCTAAGTAATTCAGCTTTTGTACCACTAGCCTGTCAACACTGAAGTTGTGAGTTCGACTTAATCTCAATCTTAATTGACTATAGGATTGCCAGTTTTCCTGCTGAAGATTGGTGGGTCACTCCGGGTTATTCGGCTTCTTCCACCAATAAAAATCTTTTTTACTCGTTCTTTATATTGACTTTTTTTCTGTGAGGAAAATATTGTATTATCTTTATACCTGTGTTTAAATTGTATTAGTTGACTTATTACTAAAACGTAGGTCTTGAAAGGAATGTTGTGAAAGAAATCTAAAATTAATCCCAAACCGTGTGACTTATATGAAACCTCAAATTTAACAAAATAGTTGAATTTGTTTTATATACTTGAGTGGCTAAGTTTTACTATAAAACTGGTGTACAAAGACTTTCTTTTAAAAAAAAATCCTTTATGTTATCCAAATCTTCAAAAATGTACTGCTATTGAATAATTGTAGGCGATTAGACTGAGTGCGGGAAGACAATTATTTGATACTTTTACGTATGTAGTAACCTTAACCATAACATCTCTCTTTTGAAATTCGGCAACCACATAGCACAACGAAGATCGGCATGACCGAAAGGAAACCCCAAAATGAAAAATAGGTTAAACAAACGTGGATAGAAGATAGTATCAAAAGACATATTTTTAAAAAATACACCAAATCATATAACAATTGTTATGACAAAGTTTTATTAACTAATTGGACCACGAGAATAATTATCGCTCTATTCTGGTACTATTATACTAAGTATAATAGTCCCAGCTCTATTATCTCAATTATTTTTCATGTGCTCCAAGATACTGTGTTGATTTTTTCATCAAGGTAACAATCGGTAAAATTTGGCACAAAAACTCCGATGGTAAACTAGCAACCAAAGTTTTCGCTTATCAATGAATGAAATATTGTCTGTCGATTATACGTTACGGACTCCTAAAATATGATAAAATGTACACAGATGACTAAGTTTAGAATGTATGCATGCATTTGTTCAATAATTTTCTTAACATAATAGTCACCGGAAACTCGTTTCATATGAATTTCAGCAAAAAGAATATACAGGAACTGGTTGGTCTCGTGTCTACAAACGTATTTAACTCGACACAAACATACAATTGTATGTTTGTGTCGAGTTAAATACGTTTGTTCCTTTTTCTGTAGAAATATACAATATATAAATCGTATTATATTAAGCTTTCTGTTATTCTAGTTTGTTTAAAACATTATGTGTATTTCAGTGAGTAAGAAAGACTAAAGTAAGTAAATACTTAATTTCAAGAGCCCTATACCCATGCTAACTTGTACTAGACTTCACTGAGCATGCTGAGGCCATCGAACACTTTCAAATCTAAAATTAATAGATATTCCTTTTATTAATTTTAGACCTTCTGTATTCCCTTGTCAAAATGTTTCAGTTCATTATTCTCTGTCCGTATCTCATGTAATTTCTCTATTCCTGTAAACTTTATTAAAATCCTCGTCTGAAATACGTACATGTTGGTCTATTTTGCGACAATAGAAAAGTGGTATTAGCTAGACCATTACATAAATAATCTCCAAACACCTGCCAAAAAAACTTGCGAAATGACTCTTACCTGGGACTTTTCTATGGCTTATATATTTAATGAATTTGGTTGTATCAAACGTGAGAATGATTTGGTGCAACGAAAACTGTTTTGCATCAATGATCTGTAAAGACAATGTTTTCAGAAAACCGGAAGTTTGAGTAGAGATTAAAAGCTTTCATGGATGCAATGTTTACAAATTTTATAAAAGTTATTATTATTTTGTGATATAAAGAAGAAAATATAGAAAATAAGTGGAATACACAGTTAACAAAGAAATTTCCAGTCACTTGACTTTCAGAAAAATGTACAAGTAATACTCGAAACAGACACCTGTCTTTGCCCGACATCAACAAAGTGGTCGTCAAGCCGGGTTTTGCTGCTTAAAAACACTAAAAAATGAAAACTACTGAAATGCCAAAAAGTCGAGTATGTAACATTAACAACTGTATTTGAAAACTGGATAAGTTAGTCTGTTTATTGAAGTTTGACATTAATTTTGATTTGCTTGTTTCAACAGTTACTTGAATTCCTGTCACTTCGGTACCTGTTTTAGGTACCTTAAGGCTTAACAGGTATACAGGAAATGCAGAAAAAAACAATTTAAATTACAATGATTAAATTAGTTTTTATCCTCATCTGTGGATTAAACAGCAGTTTGCAATACGGCTTCTTTGTTAATTTTTAAATCCCGACATCCCGAAATTCGAGGGGGCCTCGGTGGCCGAGTGGTCTAAGTAGTTACTACTGTAATCACTAGCCAGTCAACACTGAGGTTGTGAGTTCGAACCCCGCTCGTGTGGGTGCACTCGACTCCAATATTAATTGACTAGGATTGTCAGTTTTCCTATCGAAGGTCTGTGGTTTTCTCCTTTCGCCCTAATACCTGTTCCTACTGGGTTTGTAGGTCCTGATTCAAATTTTGAAAAAGGAGATGCTAAAAAACGTAAATGTATTTATTTTTGTACACTGATTCTGTATTGAGTAACTATGAGTACTGATGATTATTTTGAAAATAAAGAAAATAAAATCAATTGTCATACATAAATTCTTGTAGTTGTCCAAGTTTGTTATTGGCATTGTTTGTGAAGCTGATTTTGTGATATTCCAAGTTTGTTATTGGCCTAGTTTACAGGGAGTCTTCCAATCTTCTACGGATTATTAGTAAAATGCAAAGCACATACTTTTTAGAATGAAAGCATCCAGACATTCATTATCATGATTATGCATAATGCAATAGCATGATCATAACTAATTTTGGTTTTTGAAGGTACATGTATCACATATCCATTTATCTCAATAATGTTTGAAATAAGTTATGTTTTTTAAAAAATTAAGAAATTGGTTATGTACATGTACATACCAACTAGATTTTTCCATTGCTTTTACCAAAAATTTATCATGATCATATAGGAATTTGTAAAATCCATTATGGTTTAGAATGTACACACTTATTTGATATTATTAATGTTAATTACTAAAATATTTTATAACTTTAAATTTGCAGCCCAAGAAGTTATTATAAAGAAAATATTAAAAACTTTTGACAAAAATTTAGGAAAATTGAATATGATAGTTCTACAACATGTGTAGCTAGTCTATAGATACAATGTATATATAAAAAATAAATTGTGGTATAATTGCATTGAGACAACTCTCCAACAGAGACCAAATGACATAGAAGTTAACAACTATACATGTAGGTCACCGTAAGGCCTTCAACAATGAGTAAAACCCTTACTGCATAGTCAGCTATAAAAGGCCCCAAAATGAAAAATGTAAAACAATTCAAATGAGGAAACTAATTGCCTGATTTATGTAAAAAACAATGAACGAAATACAAATATAATACACAGCAACAAACGACAACCACTGAATTACAGGCCCCTGACTTGGGACAGGCACATACAGAATGTGGCGGGGTTAAACATGTTAGCGGGTGCCCAACCCTCCCCTAACCTGGGACAGTGGTATAACAGTACAACATATGAACAAACTATAAAAAATACAAAAAAAGACACTAAGTACAGATCTGAGAGTTATTGACAGCTAGTTCAAAGCCATAAACAACTAATAAACATGATAAAAAAACCATGTATCTAAGACTATATACATGTATTTGATCTTTATATAGCTGTCTTAGATTTGATGTATTATGGGTATACCATAGTCTGTCTGTCCTTATGTCAACATGTTGTACAATTACTCAAATTTGCTTTGACCAATTCAATGAAATTTTATCACAACAGTAGGATTGAAGAAAAAGCTCTTGTTCGATTTTGGAAATTTGTGGGTGTGGTGTTCTAAGAGTTACAGGTTTTCGACTGTCAGATTTAAGTCAATTTTTCACATATTGCACACATTCTCCAGTATGTTTGAATTGATTCCCTCAAAACTCACTTTAGTTTGGATTTTTAAAAGAAAGTTTGTTTATGATTTTTAATTTTTTCTTGTTTGTTGTTCCAGACTTACAGGACTTTAACAATAAGATTTAAGGCAATTTTTTTACATGTCCTGCAAATGCCTTAGTGTGCTTGAATTGGATCAAATTACTACAAACTTTACACTGTTGTTAGGATTGGTGAATGTTGACTTTCTTTTGATTTTGAAATATTTTGGAAATTTTTACTGTTGTAGGTATAATGCCACTTGAGTTATTAGATGCAAATCAGTTGTAACACCCAACTTAGCAAGGATAACTAACTTATTTGTCTAAATATTGTAAAATGTCAATCTCACGGTCACAGACTCTTAGGAACTTGAAGCACTCTCTGTAGCAACTGTGTGTCATTGATGCAGCAATATTTAAGAATAAATTGATATTGCAAATGGAAAAATTTTCCATGAGCAGTTGGACTTCAATCCTGCACATCATCGTCATGAATAACATATATAAGGTACTACATGTATTTGCTAGCGAACAATGTCAGTTTGAAAATTTTATTTCATTTATTTATTTTCATTTTATATTGTTAATATATATGTATATGTAAATCTTTCAGGTTTATCAACTAGATGAGTATGAATCAGGATCAGACATAGACAACACAGAAACATTGGTAAGTATAGATTTATATTGTACTTTATCATTTAAAAAAGAGAAGTTCAATTCTGATTGACTGAAGTAATGTACATGTTGATTCTTTATTGTCTTTCATTTTTCGAATGTAAGCAATTCTATTATATAATCGTTTAACCAATATTTTATGCATATAACTTTTTTAAATTCTTAATCTGGGTCTACATTTTGTAAATGTTGAAATTCTATTTCTTTTTCTTCACATGACCATCTCTCATTTGCCACACAAATATATACATATTTTGCTTTTAATGGAAAATATATATGACTATGTGGACTGGCAAATGTCTCGTCTGAGATTTAAGCACACCTCGCTCACACACATGTTTTAACCATAAAATTAAGAAGATGTGGCATGACTACTCTCCACCAGAGACCAAATGCCATAGAAGTTAACAACTATAGGTCACCGTAGGTCACATGCATTTTTGCAATATCAGTGTGTAAGTGTTTTTAATGTCTTAAGTGAAATTTTAATGTTTTGGGTTTCATTCTGAGTCCATCCATTTTGAAATAGTTTATTTTTTGCCTTTCTCATTTGTGTTCTCTTATATGCTCATGTGTTTTTAAAAAAAATAATAAAGTGGAAAAATCAAGTATTTAATTCACAAGTTTTCTTTTTACATGTTTGTTTCAAAGTATTTGGATAAAAAAAAACTGAATCAGGTTGGTTGTTTTATTTGTTTGAAAGGTTTAACATATTTCCATATCAGTACATTTTATAGCTGACTATATGGTATGCGTCTTACTCACTATTGAAGGCCACACAATGACATATAGCTGCTTAAATCTGCTTCATTTAGACTCTGTTGAAGACTCAATGGCTATCATACCACATCTCCTTATTCTATGTTGAAACAGGTTAACAACAGAAATTAACACTGAATTAAAATTTGAAAAATAATCCATAAGGATAAAAGTAGCTTTATCAGTGGTATGTTTGAAAATCATATCCTCATTACATGTATGTAAGTATGTAAAATTAACTAATCTTCAGATTGAGATTAAAAAACAGTGATATATATATAGTGTTTATGCATGTAAATGAAATTATTTCTTGAAGGGATAAAACTGATTGTTTAAATGTATTACCTTTGACTTTGCATTTAGTAGGGCCACCCTATGCTTTTTGGAGCTGGACACGACATACATATGCGTTTATACAGGGGTGGATCCAGGATTTTAGGTTAGGAGGCACAAACTTAAATATTCGCCGAGCGGCGAGGCGAAATTTTTTTGGAGCTAAAATTAACGAAATATACTTTATTAAGCTGAGGACAACCCATGCTTTGCAAATTTTAGGGGGCGCACACCCGCCAAACCCCCGCCTGAATCCGCCCCTGGTATAACAAAGTAAATGGACAAATATTAACTATCTAGCTGATGCAAAATTGTTATACCCTTTGGCTAATGGTTCCCTGCCAAATGTCCATTCCTGATAAATTATTTTGCCTTGGAGGCATACTAATTCTTAAGTACTAAAATCAATGAATAGAAATTGGATGGATTCTCCAATTGTTATATTTAATAATTTGTAGGTTTAAAATTTAAAAGGTATGAATTACAATTTACACTGGAAATTATCTGTGGCATTTAAAGCACTTTTCAGGCGAGACAAACATCCTTCATTCATGTATGGTGTTTGTCTGTTCACTGCTTTTTTTTCCTCCCCTTTATGATATTTATACATCATTACTGATATTGAAATCTTTCTCCCACATATAATCCATATTATATATACTTCTAAAAGCTCCAGATCAAGCATAGAAAAGTCATGTACATTTATCAAGTATTATTTTAATCTTAATCATCAAGACAAAACCTTAGAAAAGAGCTAAACTAATTAAACAGGCAGATAGTTATATAGTTTAATATGTAGTTTATCTGTTAAATTTTGGTTTTGTATGATTTTCTTTGTGTATGCCGTCACATTTAAAAAAAATCTTTTACTTAGATGGTAATAAATATTGAATTAATTTATATTTGCATTGATTAAACTTAAGTCTTATTACCTGGTACATGTATCATCTAAAAACAGTTTGAATCGAATACAGATCCTGTATGCAAGCTTTGTTTACAAGGATCTGATAACTTTTCATTTTACTTTCTGTTCTGGTAATTATTACATCAGCCAATGAAATTTCAGCTTTCAAATTTTTGAAGGTATGTATTAATCTGACAAAAAAATAAGATCTGGAAACAGTGGAAAGGTCTTTGAAACAGAAAGTAGAACGGAACATTTTCAGATCCTTGTAAGCAAAGCTTGGAGACAGGATCCGACTGTATTTTAATCATATTGATGTACAAATGTATGATCTTTCAATCTCAAAGGAATATCAGGCTGATCATAAGATTATTCAGACTTTTTTATGCATTATTGATGAAAATATCCAGTATAAATAATCTGATCTTGATTAAATTTGACTGATTCTTGATTGGAGCTTAAACCTGATACATTATTTAGCACCTTTTTCTAGTTGCTTGGTATAAAAGTGATGTAGATTTGTAATTAATAAAAAAAAATCGTGGTTTACCATATTTCATGTGATTTGACAAAAAAGTATTAACAAAAATATCAAACTCCAAAGGTAAATAAAAAAAAAGATAGTATTCTATAAAACCTGACAAAATAAATGCTCAGCTATATTAACCAATGGATTGATTGGGAAACAACTGTCATATTCCTTACTTGGTACAGGTATAAAAGGGTCTGCAAATACTATAATATGTATGCATAGTACATTAGTACATACATCACATTTCTGGAATAATCAATAGTTTACAAGAACATGCAAATTTATGTTTAATGATTTCAATTTTACAATAGTTTTTTTTTCTGTTTTTGCAAAGATAAATGTATGTTAAAAAAGTGACAGAAGATACCAAGTGAACATTAAAACTCATAAGTTAAAGAAAAACTGACAACGCCATGGCAAAAAAAAAAACAAAAACAGCAAAAAGACAAACAATATAGAAAACAAAAGACTAAGCAACCCACAAACCCCACCAAAAACCTGGGGTGAATATTTTACTTAACGCTACCAAAAAATGATATAAATACTACTTTTTTTTAAATGGATTGAGGTCCAAGTCTCTGTTTGAAACTAATTATGAATGTAGTATTCCAGTACATTAAACAGCTGCTTTCAGTAAAAGTTTGAAAAACAAGTACATAAAAATTGCCCTTTTCAATACAGTGAAACCTACAAGTATAATGAAAGACCACCCATTTTGTCAATCAAATGTGTTTTCCTGACATTTGACCCTTAAACAAATTACATCATAAGAATTAATAAAGTGTTCATGTGACTGTCACCTGGTCTTCCAAAATAATATGTTTACTCAACATAGGTTCTGCTTAACAATGTATTTATATTTATAGAAATACAATGAAACTTGTGTAAACGGAAATCCTTTGGTTCTGAAATTTTTGTTATGGTTATAAAGGTCATGAAGGTGTTTGGTTTACACTTGGTATACTTTAAAATAAAGAATATGTATTGTATGTCCTTATATTTGAGTCCACTTTAACAGATGTCTGGATAATGCATGCGCAGGATTAGCTAAAAGACAGGTTTCACAGTACATGTATATGCAATACAAAATATTAAACACGCCAATGAGATGATAACCTCTGATATTTAAAAAGATATTGTTTAGGTTAGAAAAAGATAATTTGTTTATAGTAATTGTAAAAATAAATTATTAAATATGTGACAATTATAATTTCAGCTTTCCAAACATTTCTCACAGCAGTCAACAAAGAAGAAGAAGGGTAAGATAAATTTCTAAATACCTCTTCATTTGATTATGTACTTTCTTGTAATTGGACAATTTTAAATAGATTAAAACAAGAGCTTTTTGAAAACATTTCCCTTGAACAATTTTAATTTCAGTATAATTTAGTAGATAACAATTTTTGTATCAATATATTAATCTATGTAATAGAATTAGTCACTTGTGCACAGATTGTTGAATAGACCTATGACAGTTCTGTCAAAAGTAGTCTTTGCAAGGAGCAAACAATATAAAAAAAATAGTTAGAAAACCATAGCCAAACTATTTACACTTTTTGATCTTACCGTGATCCTGAGTTTCAAAGGATATCAAGTTTCAAGCTCTTTTAGCAATGCATAAAAAGAAGAAATATGGAAAACATTAGACACTACAACAGACCACACAAACAACTTTGAAACAATTCACAAATTCATGATGTTCAATGTTAAACTGGTACCAAAAGAGGGAACAAGAAATTCTTGATTCTACAGTTTCTTTTCATTGCATGTGACACAGAGAAAATATTAGTTTTACCTATTATACGTTAATTTTAGAAATCAGAATAAATCTTATGTACAACCTTTTGAACTTACATTGTAAATGAATGGGAATTTGTCAATTTTTCTAAAGCTGTTGATATGAATATTTGTTGTAATGATAATTTGACAATGACTTAGACATACATGTAACACTTGTAAACATTTCTTCTCCATGCTTGCATCTTTACATTTCAGCTTCAAACAAAAAGTCAGGAAAACAAAAAGGTATGGACATTGATCTAATACAGTGTTTTGTGGAAGTTATTAATTGTCTTAAACCACTTACAATTAATTTTAATATTCTCATCCATTTCCTTTTTTTGCTCTAATTTTCATTTTCTTTCTACATTTTCAGATATCTCTAAAATTTTCTTGCAATTTTATTTAAAATCAACAATAGGTATAACATGATATTTTAGCTCTCCCCCTCTCTCTCTCTCTCTCTCCCTCTCTTGTTTTTGTTAAAGGAAGATGAAAATATAAACCTTAATTTTATGTCATTGTGCCCTTAAAGTTCGATGGTAAATATCTTTTCAAATAAATAAACCTTGAATTGAAAGTATGAAAACTTAATGGAGTGAATAAAAAAATTATGGAGGCTAAGTTTTATAGGTGTACAATATCAGACAACTACAATGATGTCTCTCGGTGTATATATTTGAATGCAAATCATATTATTAATTATTCTTTTCCAATACATGTATAAAAATATCATATTTCCCTGTGTTTTCACCACTGTGCATAACAGGAAATTCTGGTCAATGCTTGTAATGTTTTGATTTTTTGACTGGTCATTTTGACTTAACCTGACTTTTGAATGATGTCAATATTTGACCCAAACAGATAATACTTCACTCTGAACCATTTCATCTGAAATTTCTAAATAGCAATAGCTTTAATTGGCCAATTGTGATTATGGTAGCATCACATTCAAGCAATTTAGCATGACATTACCATGATGCTTAAAGGTCTAAGCTTAGGAGAACACCAATTATGCATGTTAAGATTAATTGAATTGAAAACCTTCCAATTGTCCATTATTTAATACCTGATTTTTGTTTCAGAAACCCCACGAAAAAGAGCCCAAAGTGCACCACCAGCAAAGGTTGGTCGTGATTTGTGGATGAACGCAGTGAAGAAAAGACAAACACAGAACCTTACACGGAGTAGACCAGAGAGTCCACGTCACAAAACATCCACAGAGTATTGGGTTGATACTCTTCGGAAAACAGGAATAGGTTTGTATAATTCATTCTGGATATGTAATAAGACATGTGAAATTACATTGTTTGCTAAAAGATAGGGAAAAAATTAGAAGTACACTCTAGCCATTTTAACAAGTGTATTTGACATCAGTGATGATATGGAGGGAAAAAATGATAGGGTCTGCAACTCATTTCACAAAAAATCATGAACATTTCAGTATAACTTATAATCAAATTTTTGTTGGAAGATTTTTTGTGAAAAGAACCCCTGGTTTAGATTGATGCTCTCAGTAAAACTAATACTTTTGGATTTACATGTTCAATTGTCATTATCACATTTTCTCCTTTATAACTGGATGTTTTATGCCAGCTAGAATTTTTTTAATTTTACAATTGCAAATATAAAATTGAATCAAGGTAAACTTGCAGAGTATATTGTGTGACCCAAAACATCATAATTATTTGTTTTTTGTGTAATTGTAGGAAGGAGTACAGAAAGTACTGGTATGAACACATTTTCTGGGAAACGACCACGTGAACAAGACATGGCGTATCTCAGTACTTCAGCATATATGAGGCAGATGATGGGCGCAGAAAAGCCACAGAAATATGGGGATCCAACAAGTAAGGCTGTGATAGATCTCGTTGATTCATATTATTTTTCTCTCCCTTATAAGCAAACATTACAAAGAAAGTTATCTACTATTTAACCATAAAATTTATGAGATGTGTTGATCACAGCAATATTCATATCTGTTACATAATACTATATGAATTAATTTTGCACCTGAATATCAAGGCATTTTATTAAAATGGTTTAGATTTTTAAAGGAATTAGGTGTGCAAATTATGTTATTTTTTTAAGCGTTCAATGGTTTAAGTTAGTTCTAAATGTAAAATCATTGAAAAAAATCAGACAACTGGAATTTTGTCAGTGAACCTTCATATATCATTTTAAAATTTAGAAAGTCTAAATGGTCATAGGCAGTGCAGGCTTTGTATAGGCATTGTATTTACAATTTCAATTTTTTCCACAGTGGATAATTCTTAAATAATTAGAACTAGAGTCACTGTGGGGATATTTTGTTTTACTCTCTCTTATAATTAATATGGGTAAATTATTAATATAAATTTAGATTTCTTTTCATACCGTTTATCATGGTAATAGTTTTGATAAATTTGTAGCAATTCAATTGAGTGTTTTCTATTACAGCAAAACCTCCCATTGGAGCCCCAGCATATAAAACACCAGAAGAATATTATGACCAGGTGCTTGAGCTAAAAAAGGTATGATCTAAGTGATAAACCATACATTATTATAATTATTCACATTTACAGTTATCTATACAAATATTTTTTTTCAAAGCTCACTAAAAATGTAGCCGAAAGCTGTTTGCAAATGATTTTACAGACTCCTAGAAATTATGTCTCCCACACATATATATATAGAACTTCAATTTGTGTCTATCTGTTTATTGTCTCACTATCTCTCTCTCTCTCTTTTGTTCACAAAAAGTTTTCAATGCAATATCTCTTACATTTCACCTTTGAATGGAACAAATTGTTCAGGAAATGGGTAAGACTTAAGTTTTTTATTTTTACAGATTACTTGAATATTTATGGTGTAAATAATTGAATTCTTGAATTGGTGAGGTTTATATATTTTTTTTTATAATTTCGAATAAGGCTATTAATTTTTGACATGTGATATTTATTACAGATTATCCAAGGTCTTAATCAAGAAAAGAATGAACTAAAGTCAAAAGTTAGGAGAACCGAAGAAGATAATATTAAAAAGGTAAGCAATGATAATCCAATCAAATTGATACTGGCATACACCATTGAAACCTTGTAGTTTTAAAATTGTTCTCCACTTTTAAGTATCCATACTGTATTAAGAATTACGGTGGATTAATTTATTTTTAGTGGATACCAATTTTTGTGGATTGAGGAAAACTGATATTTTTGTGCCAAAGTCTGCATTCAAGCCAATAGAAAATTTGTACTTCTTTGAACATTTATATTTGTGGTTTAACTTTACCCACGATATCCACGAATATTAATATCCAAAGAACAATAACGAATCCACAGTATGGTGATATTTAAGATTATAGGTTTTCCTTGTGCCTGTTTCACCCTGTTTAGCTCTTTGTAAAATCTCATATCAGGGCTTTATTTTCTTTATAGCTTGCTGTTCGGTGTGAGCTAAGGCTCCGTGTTGAAGGCCGTACTTTGACCTATAATTGTTACTTTTTATACATTGTGACTAGGAGAGTTGTCTCATTGGCACTCATACCACATCTTCTTATATCTTATATGACATCAATTGTGTTTGACCCTGACTGTTTTAATAAAGTTTGACATGACATTGACCCAAAGTTATCCAGTCTTTTTCCAGTAAAACAAGGTAAAAATATTGTTTCAAACATGAAAACTACGAAAATAAAATCTGATTAATCAATTTTCAGATTTTCTTTATCTAGATATTGTTAAAATCAGCTGTTTTTCATAATATGAAGCTTTTTGAGCTTGTTTGCTGCACCTACTTCATCAAAATTGTATTGTGACTAGCAGCTGATATTTTACAATATAAATATGCAAAACACTTCATTATCAGTTCATATCTACAATATTGCATATCAATATGATTTGACCAAGTCAGATGCATGACAAGAAATTTTTCTCAAATTCTTCTCTGTAATTTTTTTTTTTTACTTAAAGTAATATTTTAAGAGGTTATTACATGACATATTCCATGTCGTCTCTGATATCATCCAGAGAGTCCCATATTGAATAGTGATCTTTAGTTCAAGATCCTGATATTGGTCAAAGGTTGATACTTAGAACCAATATTGATCTTTTTATTTGGCCTTTGAAATTGGGAAGAGAAAATATAATAATAAAAAAAAAAAAACTATTTGTTTTGTTTCTTGAATTTTTTTGTTGATTGTTTAATGTTCCAATGAATCCATCCTGTTTATCTTCTTTTCTTTAATGTCACCTGTTAGTTGTCAGTGAAAACTATAAATATGTATTATTCTAGTTTAATGCTTTTCTTTTTTTTGTGTAGGAAAAAGAAATATCTGGTCTTCTTGACCCCAAAAAGGTAAGTCAAAACTTTTTTTATATAAACTGATGTTGGATACGCTTGTAATACATCAGTTCATCTTAATGAATGATTTCTCTTTATGGATGTCAAATGGTATGGTTTGAACTATGATAAATGATTTTTGCATTTTTTGTGAAGAACACATATGTATTGCTGCAGTTTGTGAGTTTTTACATTATCTTCAAAGACCATCTTGCAACAGTCAAGATGGAGAACAACAATTGCTGGTATTTTGATATAAAGGTTTTTGCTCTGTTTTTTTTTCGATTTTTATCTTAGGACACCCTCTTCATGTCCTTTCTCTTCCTAATCATGAAAATTTTATTAAATGCACAATTTCTTAAAATGAACATTATCATAGATATCTAACAGAACCACACAGATTTGAATAACTGTTAACCAATCAAAAATCAAGGTAAAAGATAGTTACTTTTGATATTTGTTTGATTTCAGAGTGATGATGTACGGAGAACATTAGGTACAAAACAGCAAGATTCTGCCTCAGTTATTCACAGCTTAAAACAGAAAATTCTAAAATTAGAAATTCAAAACAGAGATAGAGAATCTGCTTATGTGTAAGTTTATTTTTATCTCTTTCATATTGATATGCATCAATGATAACTATTGTTACCCAACATTTTTAACGGATACATTCCTTCAGGTTTAGTACTTTCTAGCCAACATAGCTTCAACATTGGTGATACTGTTACTCAACATTTTTAACAGATACATTCCTTTAGGTTTAGTACTTTCTAGCCGACGTAGCCTTGACATTGGTGATACTGTTCATATAAAAGAGGTTCAAGTTTGATGTATTCCTTGCATTTTAAAATTTTGAAATTATTTTCTACTTACCAAAGTCACGAGATTAAATTGCTTGGAAAAAATATTTAATTTACAGTATTAAATATACATGTTTAGTTTCACAGACAGATATAAAAACCAAACAAATTAATGGAAAAATTAAGATTGTAGTATAACAAATGTTTGATATGTTGTGATGTGTGAAAGTTGAAAGTCTCTAGGAAAATTAAATCCTATTTAAAACTTACAACATTAAAAAAAATAATGTTTTTAGTTCTAAATAATGATGTTGTTTTGTGATGTTGTTTATGACATTAATTTTGCTTCACATCAAAACTTTAAAACCAAAGTACTATAAATGTATGAAATTTCATTATTTCTCTTTACAAACAAAAGAAATAAAAATATTACCTTAACAGATTGGATTTATGATAAAATACACATGATACTACTGATATCAAACGGCTGAAATAAATTCCTGTAAGACTGGGGTTTTTGTCTCGCCTTGCAAGACTTAAGGAGTACTATCCGGTGGCAGCGTAAACTATTTGTATAAAGCTTTATATTTCAGAAGGTAGAAGACCTGGATGCTTCATACCTTGTATGCATATACCTTATGTTACGAAGTTTCCGTCTGTCATATGTTAATTGTCCTTGACCTCATTTTCATGGTTCAGCGACTGCTTGAAATCAACAAATTAAAAACCTCTGGCCTTAGCATGCTGTGACTGAAAAAAAATGATAATTTATATAACATAAGTTTAAAGTACTTGATTTTGGGTTTTTTTTTTAACCAGCCAAGTGCACAATTAGTTTTCTTTGATATTTTATTTATGAAATTGTTATTGTTTGAATTTATAGAAATCTTACTATGTTACTGTTATTCATTTAAACTTGGAGATGTTAATGTATGTCACCTGAGAAAGATTTGCCATTTTATCTTATATTTTTTTGCAGAAAATTACAAACAGACCTTAAAACAACAAAAATAGATGAACTTAAACAGCAATTAGAAGTTTGTTTTCAAGAAATTGTAAGACTACAGAACTCGAAAGGAACAGGTGCTCATGGGTTAGGGTATGTATATATAGTACCACTGGTAAATTTTGTAGTGCTTTGCATCAATATCAAATTTTATTTATGATAACAGTGCTCGAAAGGAGGGGGAGGGGGTACCCCTGTCTTTCGGTCCCATGAAAGGATATTGTTTGGTAAAGGTCCTATTGGCTTCGAATATTTAGTCCAATGTTTCAATATAAAAAGTGTTTCATGAAAAACAATTCCCATTTTAGAATAATATTACAATTTACTTACTTGCAAAGATAGTAATTAATATTGACACAATTAAGCATGTAATGTCCTATATTAAACGATGATATTCAAATAGATAAGCTAAAACTTAGTGATCTTGACACAGAGGATAGTACTTTTCACTCACATTTTACCACAGAAATTTTCAGTTCTTTGATGACAAAGTTGCATTTATTGATATACACATGTATTGGATAACATCAAAATCAATTGTGATAAAAGGCATGTAATGTAATAATATGGTATAAGAATAAGAAAGGTATTGTGCTGCTGCATGCATTGCTATTAGGTGAATTCAGATATTTGAACAATAGAAATAAATGCAAGATTTATTATTATGATTTCAGAAAATGCTGCTTACAAGTAATTGTAGAGATAATTGAAATGCAAGTTTCTATTTTTGCAAAATGTATCCCTTTTGGAATAATAAAACATTGTAAACAATTATGAATTTACAGTACTTTATGAATTTATATTTTTTATGTAGGCCTGCAAAACCAGGAACTGACAAGAGAATAAAAGCCTTAAATGAAGCAATCCTTAGATTAAACAAAGAAAACGAGCAGCTGAAGTCTGAGAGTCATGGATTGAAAGAGGATCTCAACAGACAAATAGATGACAAAGATAGTAGCGGTAAAAATGAAATAGATAGATTGTGTAAATTCTCTTCCTTCCTTTTCTGAAAAAAAGAAGTTAATCTGAAATGTTGATAGTAAATATTTAGCTCAAAATGACCATTTTAAACAATTTAATTGCTTAGAATGTATAATCAGGGACCTTTAAAAAATCTCCAAATTTTATCATAATTACATATAATTATTCTCCATATTATTTTTTTATTAATATTGGAACATTTAAATTAGCATAAATTATTTTTCTTTAAAAATATGCAAGAATAAATGATTGAAAATAAAAAAAAACTGCAATGTTGATTTAATGCTATCGTTTTTGTAAATTGTTAATAACATCATGAATAAAAAAAAAGGATTTGCTGTTAGCATGACGCTGGAGATGGAAAAAAAATTAGTTGATGTCTGATAAATAATAAAAAAAAAAAAAAAAAAGATTAGAAAATAAAATAAGAACAGAGCAATCAATATTTTTTCTGTTGTGATAATAACATTTTATATTGCACATACTATGTAGTTATAATTTTTTGTTAATTAATTTTTTTTTTGGTCAAATTATAGGTGAATATGAGGACATGAACAGAAAGCAGCTAATAGCAGCTATTAGAAAGATTGAGAAAGTATGATTAAAGACAAAAAAATACAATCTATATGCAGCATAACTAATTATATCCATTTTCACTTTCTAAAACAGTACAATAGAGTAACCTCCCTTTTGAAATCAAACTTTTATAGCCTTCTATGGTATGGGTTTTGTTCATTGTTTAAGACCATACTTTTAACTATAAATTGTTCATATCTTTGTCCTTTGTTCATTATTTTTGTCACATTTTGGAAGGCATGACAAATAAGAGCTCCCTGATATTTGTTATCACTCTTCATGTGAATATTCTAAAATGAGTGATGCCTTTCAGATTTAGTTCTCATCAACTTCCTGTTTACCTAAAATAAATATTCTGAAACAGAATGGCCATGTATGAAATTTAGTAGTATTTTTCTAGGGAATGACAATTAAGAGCTACCTGAAATTTGGTATTAGGCTTCATGTGAACATGCTTTAACTTGGGATGTTTTTCATATTCATAGCTCATCAAGTTCCAGCATACTGAATACTTATATATTTTACCACATAATGGCCATGTATGAAATATTTGTCAAATGTTTTAGAGGACTACAAATAAGAGCTTCTTGAAATTTGTTATCAGGCTTTATTTGAACCTGCTATACTATGTGATGCATTTTCATATCCATTGCTCTTCAACTTGCTGATTACAGAATACATAAAGCACATGTATAATTAATGAGCAATAACTCACAGTTTCTACTTGTTATGCCATAGTTTTAAATGATTTATTCAGCAAAATTAAAAACTGTAACAAAACATTTTTCTAACCTCACAAATTAATTTATTGTTGAGCTTGGTGTCATCCTACAGCTAGTATGCATACAATATTATATTTCAACTATATCATATGCATTTATTTCAGCAAAAGTCGAAGACAGACAAAGTTTACAAAGCTGATAAGCAAGGTATATAATAATGTATATAGATAATTTAATTAGATTTATATTTCTACATCGAGAGGAGGACCTCGGTGGCTGAGTGTTTTTCGATTAGTAGTTCAACTACTGTATCATTAGCCTATCAACATTGAGGTTATGAGTTTGAATCAATTATGTGGCAGGTGTGCTTGACTCTAATCTTATTTGACTAGGATTATCAGTTTTTCTGCAGACGGTCATGGTTCTCTTCCGGCAATCCCGCTTCTTCAACCAATAAAAACTGACCACCAAGAAATAGGCAATAGTGCTGCAAGTGGCATTAAACACCAATCAATCAATCAACCAATTTTTATATAGAGGACAAGAAGAAAGAGTGTGTCTTCTTCCTTTATTATGTAGTATCACCTTTTTTCACCCATTCAAATAGGAAAAGTATTATTTGTGGTTTACCAGAAACAACTGTTTCCATTTAGCATTCATGAAACTAGCAGAAGTTGTCTGAAAATTGAACAATGAAACCAACTAGCAAGTGAAATTTAAGTTAAAAAAAAAATTGTATTTTAGATTTGATTTGATTTGATTTTTGGTGTTTTAACGCCACTTTTAAGCACCGCTTTTGGGCTATTTCGTGGCCGCCAGTTTTTATTGGTGGAGGAAGCCGGAGCGCCCGGAGAAAACCACCGACCTTCGATAGGAAAACTGACAATCCTAGTCAATTAAGATTGGAGTCGAGTGCACCCGCACGAGCGGGATTCGAACTCACAACCTCAGTGTTGACTGGCTAGTGATTACAGTAGTAACTACTTAGACCACTCGGCCACCGAGGCCCCCTGTATTTTAGATAGAATAGACTTTATCTCTATTGTCTTCCAATACTGGACATCACAAAGGTTCCCATAAAATTTTGACGTCACAATGGAAAATGTCTTGCGCAACAATAGTTCAAGTGTTGCTGATTATCAGGTCAAGTGCTGCAGATATCCAAATAGCATTAAGGTCTATTCAAAAAGCCATTCGTAGAAGCAGTTTTATTTTCATTTTTATACTGATTGAAAGCTACTGGGTTGTAAATGTAAATGTCAGTCTAGTGGCCAGTTATAAGTATAATTTGACAGTACCTAATTCAATCTAAACTTTTTAGTGTCATAATGCAAAATTTATACCTTTGCTTCAGATCTTATTATTTTTCAAACTCCATAAGCTGATTTTCTACTTATCCTGTATTAAACAGTATCAATACAATTGTACACTATAGATATATTGGTTGAGAATATAATTTAGATAAAAAAGGATGTATATAGTAGTATTTTTTACCTATATTTTCAATCCTGGTATTGATGTTTTTAGGTAAAATAGCCTTAGAAGGTAGCATGGAGCAGAGACTAGACCAATTAGACAAACGAGAGACAGAACTAATGGATAAAGTAGAGACTCAGGGCAGACAAATTACAAAATTACAAAATGAAAAAGAATTACTGTACAGAAAACTTGATGATAAAGAGTAAGTTTTGTTTTGGCTTTTGGTAGACCTAGTTTCTATATAAGTTTTATTTGCCTGAATATTTCATATAAAGGAAAATCATCTGTCTAAATAAGAACCAAAGGATTTCATCTCTTACAGCTTTCCTATAAAAGCATGCAAAGCAAACCTTTGATCGACTTGCTTGCTATGTTTGCTTGGATTTTTGTTAACAAAAGGGTAGGCGGAGTTTCAGTCTGTTTAATATATACTGGTTTTTAATTGGACAATAAAAATTGACGTACAATGTGAACCTTAACATTTAAATGAAGTTAATGTTTATTGTCCAATCAAATTCCAGTATATAGTAAACAGACTGAACTAGACTACCTACCTGTTGTTTACAAACATCCAAACAAACATAGCAAGCAAGTTGATCAAAGGTTTGCTTTGCATGCTTTTATAGAAAAGCTGTAAAGTATGTTTATATTGTATATGCCTGTTAAAATTAGACATATGGTATTATAATATAATTGTTATTTTCTTTCTTTGGTCTGCCCTTCCAGCATAAACATTTGGTAAGTTTATATGTCAATGGTATTTGGTATTCAGTTGTACTAGCAGTGACATCTCATTTCCACCCAGGTTATTTGGCCCTACACCTTCAGTCATGGTTAATTTACTTTGAATGTTTTATTTACATTCTAAAATATTGCGATTTGAATTTTACAATTTGCATTATATAACTAGTATCAAAACAACATTAAGATGAGATATCTCTTTGTCAACAGTTTATTTAACTAATCAAAGAAATGTATGTTGTTCAAATTAATGAGATAGATAATGATATAAATCAGTGATATTAAATAACCAGGAAAACAGGAAATTATTGACAATTAATGAGAGTTGGAACCTAAAAAATTCTTAGACTCCAGATCAACTGCAAGTTAGTTACACCAGTAGAGATTTCATTCAATCTCTTATGATATAATGTCCTCTTTATAAAGATCTCATAGAATAATGCTATTGGTAATTTTTATTTTCACAGAAAAGAAATTATTGAATTGGAAGAACAGACAGGAAGAAGAACAAGCAGATCACCTACTACGTATGTATAGTGTATGAAGAGGAAAATTTAATTTCAGTGAAAAATTAAAAAAATAAATATGCAACAGATGTAAGAATAACTGCAATATGAATACATATTCAACAGAAGTAGAAATAGGGCAGGTAACCAATGGTTCTTGTTGCATTTCATGGTTGCTGCTTAGCAACAGAAAATCCCATGTAGATTTAAGTTGATTACAAACATGACAGATATATATGGGTATATTACTTTGAGAATCACATGTTTGGAATACTTTGAAATCAGATCTTTGGTACTTTTTATGTGCCACCTAGAGGCATTATGTTTTTCGGTCTGTGTGTCAGTTCGTTCGTCCATCCGTCCAAGGTAGTTTTTGATGAAGTCCAATAACTTGAAACTTAGTATACCTGTTCCCTATGATATGATCTTTCTAATTTTAATGCCAGATTAAAGTTTTAACCCCAATTTCACGGTCCACTGATCATAGAAAATGATAGTGCGAGTGGGGCATCCGTGTTCTATGGACACATTCTTGTTAAGTCCTATGTAGTGATCATGGTCTGAACACCTTAATGAAAAGTATGACAAGGTAATTACAGTACAGGGGCTGTTGTCCTAGGAGGCATTTGTCCTAGACCCAGTTAAGAACTAAAGTTCTTTGATAGTACTGAGAATATGCTATACTATATTGTAAAAAAAACAAACAAGCAGTTATTTCTCAAAAAACATCTAATAGTTTTTTTCATCATTCTACCAAAATTAATTTAAATTAGAATGAAACTTTTGAGTATTTGAAAACGAATTATTATGCAAGTTCTCTATCCTTTAAAAATTATAGTATGTGTTTAATCATAAACAGAGTTAGTTTGAGGTATAATTATAATGTTTAAGGCCAGGCAGTAAAGTATGTCTTTAGCCATAAACAGAAATTGTTTGAAGTTTAGATATAATGTTTTAGGCCAGGCAGACCACCATCAGGTAGACGTGACAGACCATTAAGTGCTAGAAGTGATGGCAGTGGGGAGTACAGTGTACGTGGAGAAAGACCTTCTAGTGTACGAGGTGAAAGACCATCAAGTGTTCGAAGTGTCAGGGCTGAAAGTCGACCTCATAGTGGTAGAAGTGATAGGTCAGCTAGAGAAAGGGAGGTAATTCAAAAAATTATAAAAAAAATTATGCATGTTTAAAATTTTCCAGAAATAGTTACTGTTTGAAAGATTATTGCTTATTATAATAACTTTAAAAAGTTAAAAAAAAGTCTTTATTCTTCTTATTTTCATCTTTTTCTTTGTTAAATGCAGGAAAAAATAGAAAGTATGTGTAAAAAAAATGCTGCAAAGAAAATTCAGAGAAATTGGAGAACACATAAACATGACATTGAAAAACAAAGAGAAATTGAAAAACAAATTCAAATTGAAAGACAAATACATATTGAACGACAGTTAAAATTAGAAAGACAACGTCAGTTAGAAATAGAAAAACAAAGAGAAATTGAAAGACAGATTGATAAACAAAAAGAAGTAGAAAGACAGCTTGAAAAACAGAGACAAATCGAAAAACAAAGACAACAGGAAAAAGAAAGAGTAAGAAGTGTTGTCTTGTGTAGGTCAAGGATGCATATCTCACAAATGACGGAATTATATATTTTATGGTCTACAATTTTGCTGTCACAAATTGCTCACTTAGCAATTTTACACATCAATAAAGCCTTGTGTAAATGGTTGCAACTGATAGGTATTCACTCTGACTGTCTTCTTTTCACATATACACCATGTTTGAAAATACAATTGAAAATGAATTATCTTATTGAAAACATTGATTTTACCTATGACCAATGATTCATGTTGTAAGATTGGCCACATTTCTTTTGTTTATAATTGAATGAGAGATATTCCATTAGTACATGTAAAACCAAGCATGATAAAACATTTGTCAACCAAATGATAGTTTTCTATATGATGTAATTTTAGTTGTGAGTTATTTCCCTTATGTAGATTCTTGTTAAAATTATACAGAACACAACTTCTTCTAGGGTTTATCGATCAGCAAAACAACTTTAATTTTGTTGATTTATTAATTAATACTTGCATGTTGACCTCCAACCTTGCAGTAAAGGGGACAAAACTACAACCTTTCATATTGATATGTAATTTTCACTGACCTTCAAAAGGTTGTCACCAGATAATTCCTGCATCAATATTTCAAATTATTTGAGCCAATTTACTTGCTTGCTCATCTTTTAAGACATGCATTACATTTGGTTATTTCCTTTTTCAATAAAAGTTTCCTGCCTAATTGTTAAGCATTTGTAAGGCTTTTTGGAGCTTAAATGGCAAGCATATCAGAACATCTATGATTGTTTACATTTGAACCGAAAAATAATACTGTTTAACCTTGAAGAAACTACAAAATTTTTTGTTTAAAAAAGTAATTAAACATCAGGATGATTTCTTGTAACCACTATTTCACTTCTATTTAAAGATTAAAATATAAAATGGTTACTTCTTTGGAGGTTTGGAAATTATTTTCAATTATCCCAAATGGGTCATGAAGACAATTGACCTAATTATCAACAGGTGCATGTTTTGGTCAATCAGTTGATAATTTGTTTACTCAGCCATTAGGGTCTATCAGTAACATACATTGTTTTATAATCATCAAAGGAAAAATGGAATCCTTAAGTAAATGCGCCTGTACCGGTGATATTGGCACATGCTAGAAGTAAAAAAAACTTACCTGTATTGGTCCCTGGTATTGATTTAATTACAGTTACAGTTAAAATGAAAATTTTGTACACAGAAAAAATAGTGGCACCAGAAATTTTGCCACCAGCAATATTATTTTGTTAGATGAAATTGAAAATCACATTTTGCAACATTGGCCAAGCCCATCCTGATCCCTGATAATGAAATGTTTTCAATGGTATTATTAAATGTGGGGTATGAATGATTCTGGTGATCGAGATGAACACAAATTATATATTTTGTATGCAATGCATTTGTATATTTACATTTAACTTGGTTTTTGCAGCAAATATAAAATGTCAAAATTACAATTTGGTCACCAATTGTCTATTCTTTTTTATTTATTATTCTAATCTTTGAATCAGGTACATTGTTTGCAATAAATTGACATCCAATTTTAGGATGAAACTCTTCCATTAATTCATATTTTCTTATTTAAACACAAATATGGTATGAACTTAAGGAATACTCCACAAAAATGGCATTGGGTATAGGTTTTGGAAGTCACTTAAAATTAAAATGTATATTTATAGTAAAGGATTTAAAAAAAAGTTGAAAATTAAATTCTCATGTTTACATTTATGTTCTTATCTTAAGTCAAGAATTTCATTAGAGTTTTTGCTGCTTCCTTTTGATAGTTTTGTCTGTTAGGCAATTTGATATTGAGGGTTGATATAGATCATTTTAATTGATTTTATTCTCTGCCCATTTTTATAAATAAATTACTTTTAATTGGGTAGGATTTAGAACTTTTCATACAATAGTGCTTATCCATGATTGATGGCATGACCTCTAAATGTCTTTTTTTTGAAGGATTTCACCTCTAGATGTCTATTTTTGTTTACTTGTGATGTTGTATTGTTGTCTCTATGACATTTACATGTATGCCACATATCTCCTTTTATTTAGATATCAAATTGATATTTAGTTTTACACATGATTGATGTTAAAAATTTCAACTGTTTTTTTACATTCAGGAAAAAGTAGAAAGATTACGACAACAACATGCAGCAAAGAAAATACAAAGAGGATGGAGAACTAAGAAAGGAGATGAGGAGAAGGAAAGAGATGTATGTGTTTTAAATGAAATAAGACAAAAACTCCGTTTTAAATATAAAACTATAATGTTCATCAAAGTGGCTATTTTTAAAATTACTGTAATCCCTATTTCTTTCAGCAAATCTTGAAATAAATTGGATACATATTTTCATGTACTGCAATATGGGGCCTTTTATTTTTATGAATTAATAGTTAATCTTAAAGTATAATTTTCTTAAAAGTTATAAGTGTTTACAGTTTGGTAAAATTTTTGTTCTCTCAAACATAATAGTGTGTGGTACATTTTGTATATTAGTTAAAGTGATTTTTTATTGAACCTTAGAAATCTTTACTTATATCATATATATACAGTTAGTGTAGGATAAAATATGACAAAATAAATGTGTTGAATTTTAGAAGAACCAAAAACCACAATCTCCAAAATCTCCCAAAGGATGTAAAAATGGCTGTGTAAAGGAGGAGTCATTATATGAACAGATGGTAAAAAACACCATGATATAAAACTACATCTAGCATTTGGATCATATATCATGTTTCACTTGGGAATGCTTGTCTTGAATAACATATATATAATACATGTATATCATGTATATGATTTTACACCATTTTTTTTTTTCTCCAATTCATTTCACAGAAAAAATATAGACTCATTTTTATTTTAAATCCCATGGTCATTGAAAAGAATGTCTTATTATTTTTAAAGGAAAACAGGTGGATGGTAATTTCTAAGAATTATTAGGACTGTTTAAGAAAAAAATATATGGGAAAAGGATATGGGCTTGGATGGCACTTCTTATTAACAGTTTCTGGTGTAAGAAGTTTAAAATAAAACTTTATGAAGCATACTCTGAGATTTCTTGAAGAAATGGCAAAGAGAGTGGATATGAGTATATAAATGCTTTCCACCCCCTCTACCCATACTTTTTTTCTTGAATAGTCTTAAGAAATAATTATATTGTGATATATCTTTCATTGCTGTTCACTGGGATGGCTTCACAGTTTTTTGTCAGATCGATAATGAATTTGTCTTGACGTGTTTTTCAAAACAAACATATGAATATAATTTTTTGTTATTGAGGCTAGTACCGGTAACCAAAAATGAGTGGTTGAAAATATGTAGGAGTTTATAATGATTGTTGTTCCCTTGGAAGCACATAATTTTGCCACAAATGACTCAACTCCAAATATAGTTGATACCTTTTATGAATGGTGCCTTAATTTCTAAAGTATTGGTCTGGAGCAAGACTTATTTTTAAGCTTCACTTTTATTTAAAGTGAAAATACTTTGAAACAATATGTTGTAATTACTTTTTAAGGTTAAAGTTCAAAAGTTTGTGGAAAACAGAGCAGCCAAGAAAATACAGAATGAATGGACGGGTTTCAAACATCGTAAATATGAAGCTGATTATGATGAGGTAAACAAATTTTTACCAACAGTGACACATGTTGCATAGAACAAAATTCTGCCACAAAAGAGAAAGAAAAAAATAGGAAAGAGAAGTGTTATAATAAGCAATATATATCAGAAATTTTAAATTTTAAAATGAATTTATATAATGGGAATGTATATGAGACAACAATATTTTATCATACATATGTTTAGGGGCCAGCTGAAGGACGCCTCCGGGTGCGGGAATTTCTCGCTGCGTTGAAGACCTGTTGGTGACCTTCTGCTGTTGTCTGTTCTATGGTCGGGTTGTTGTCTCTTTGACACATTCCCCATTTCCATTCTCAATTTTATCTATTCTTTTATAAGCTTTTTGACAAATTAAAAAAAAAAAATCTATCAACAAAATGTTTTGGAGTATATGTGATCATTGAGAAAATAGAATTGATTTGAGATTGGGAAAATCATAATGCTGTGGTTTCCTTAATTTTTGATCTATTTATTTTCCAGGATGAAGAAAAATTTGCGATTTCAAGTACTATATCTTGATGTATTTTAATTCAGTTACTAGTATTAGAAACTTATATTTTCATATACTACCCTTAATGTCTTTTGACCTTAAAAAAATAGCTCTACTTGTCCCTACCATTGAACTAACACTGAAAGGTTTATCTTCTTATCTTATCTCAGGCAGCAGACACTATAACAGCAGCACTGAAAGGCCATCAGTCACGACAACAAAGAATACATAAGTTCCAATATTACGATGAGAGTGAGACTGAAGATGAATCCTTAACAGATGCTACAGAACTGATATATTCAAGTTTGAAAGGTCACAATAACAGAAAAGATAAAATGAAAAGAATGAGGTATGTTGTTTTGAAGAACTTATACTGTTGCCTTTCATTTTCATTCACAGTACTGGCATACCATTATCTGATCAAAGATTTTACGTTTCAGAGTTATGTGATTTTATTTATAAAAAAGGGGTGATTTTCCAATTTTCGGACAATATCTTTAAAGTGATTTGAGCAGTTTTCATGAAACTTTGGTGACTGGTTTATATCTATTGAGATAACCTCCCTTTAGTTTTTCATAAATTTCTGATATGACACTGAGAAGTTATTGAACTTTATTCTTTGAAAAAACGATGGGCGTATCATGCGTTTATGGCGCAGCTGTTTATTCGTTTATTGTTTTGTACATAAATCTGGCAGTTAGTTTTCTATTTTGACTTTAAGTGCAGAACCGTAGCTCTTAGGTCCTTATGACATACTTTAGTTTGTCAGAAACCAATTATTTGGAAAATAACTACCTCTTGCTTTAAAATTCAAACATTGCACAGAAAGTATTAAGGGAGGAAATCAAAAGTTCAAAAGTTAAAAAGGAAAACTTTTTACCTATAAATAATTAATGTTACTGAGCATGTCATCACCTAACGTGAATGATCCATGGATAAAAGTGGTGTTCCTTTGTTTTGTGTTTTTCAAGTGCATGCAGTGATTTTGTTGTCTGACCTTCTTTTCCATAATATGTCAATTTACACCAATGGTCACAGACAAGAAATTTCAACCTGTTCACTCTTGTTTTCTTCGTGTTCAAATAATGCTTACTTCATTTCAGACATGTATCAGATGAAGAAGAAGATTTTTCCAGCAGTAGACGGGCATCACGAACATCACATTCAAGACAATATACTCCTCCAAATAGAATGAGACCAGGCTCAGCACATTCAAGAGCAAGTAACTCCTCACAGGTAAGATGATGACAAAATGTTATACCTTCACTCTAGAAGTGGGGCTTTACGGCAATCACCTTTTCTGTCCATTTAATTTAATTGTTTCTTTGTCTAAGAAATATTTTCTTCACACTTTTCTCAAAAACTTGCTGCACAGAACAACTTCATATTTACACATATTTGGGCACTTTTCTAGTATGTTAGATGCCTACTTCTGTTTGCCAATACTTTGATTTACGAGAAGGGTATGCTTAGCCTGACAATGTATGCATTTTTGTTTCCAAAAATATCTGTAATATGGTGTTTGATAATAAGTGATCATGTCATTTAGGGAGGGGAGGAATGTGTTATAGTTTTGTGTTCAAAGTGCGAATTTGAAATATAATTAAAATATGCTTGTATTGTTTTTTTCTTCAATAATTAGAATAGATGTTTGTTCCATTTGAATTGTGTATCATGTGTATACTAACAGTCAGTTAGGTGATGTGCACAGAAAAGAAGCTATAACAAATTCTTTCATTTTGTTTTTCTTTTGTTCTCTTTCATTTTTCATGAAGAAGCTAAGTGGTTGATTCAATAAATTGAAACACTGATGGTTCATTTTAATATATTTGTGGGTACCGTTTTTCATGAATTGAGGAAAATTGTACTTTTGTGCATACTGATATTCATTATTATTCGTGGGATACCAATTTTTGTGTAATTCCTTGGCAAAGGTAAACCACAAATTTGAATGTTAAACGAAGTACAAATTTTCTATAGGCTTGAATGCATATTTTGGCAAAACCACAAAATCAAATATCCACAAAAATACAATTTTTCCTCAATCCATGAAAGTTGGTACCAATGAGAATTAATGAATCCACTGTACACAGTTTCATGCTATCAAAACATACTTCATACAGACTAAAAGGAAGTTTGTATTTTATTGGACACTTGAATTCTTAGATAATCTCAACTCCTGTTAACCCTCGGTGATAATTAGTACACCAAGAATGACAATGAACTCACTGTACAGAATAATTAATCATCTTCATTCAGATTGTCCCTGAGACAACACCCTGCCAAATATCTTGTTTCAGATTGTCCCTGAGACAACCCCCTGACAAATATCTTCCTTCAGATTGTCCCTGAGACAAGACCCTGCCAAATATCTTCATTCAGATTGTCCCTGAGACAACACCCTGCCAAATACATCATACAATAAAGTAAACATTGAGGAATGTAAAGAGAATACCATATTGGTAGAAGGTTGATACGGTGTGTGATATTAAAAGAGCCATATCATATACACTTTATTATATACATATACCTCAAGTACAACTCATTAAGATGTTTTTCATGAGACATGACATAATGCATATTATTCGTACAGATTAGGGGTTTGATAAAGCCTTTGCAACCATGACTGATATTAATATCATCACGGATGGCTGATACAGCACAATTGCCATTGATTGTATTACACATACAATTTACTCGTATTTACTACTAAGTATATAATAAATTCAAATATTGATTTAAAAATTTCCTTCAATTTTACAGAGAAGCGCCAACAGACATACAGGAAAAACAAACTACAGAATGGCTTCTGATTATGATGATGATGATGACATTGAAATGTGAAAGGAAGTAGAATTAATGACTGTGGAATCAGTGTAGAGGAAAAAAATGGCATCTGTGTCAGTAAAATACTGCCATTCATGTGACTCAAGAAATGTTAATGATGTTTTTAATTGAAATCCGCCCATCCAAAATTTTTTTCTTTGTTTACAATTATCCATTTATTTATATTTTAACATTTAACATTAAAATAATATAAAAATGTACAATTCAATGATAGCTAGTTTTCAAAGGAATTATGTAGAATAATGTTAGTTATTTTGCCAAACGTATAAAGCTTTGCTCAAGCAGAGTGTATTTGCATAGTTATTTTATGTCTCTTCATTTACATGGATTTGTCCTATTATTTTGAAGCACATTTAAACGCAATGCCAGTTTTCAAGTATAAAGCAGGATGCTTTCAATTTCTTAATTTGTAAGCTTTAAATGCATGCCAAGTGCTTCTATATAGATGAGCAGCAGCATTGTTCAAATTCATGTTTGTTATGGAAAAGTTTTTTGACAATACCCAATTAATAAACATTCTTAATGGAATTTTATATGCTATCAAGATGTTATTGCAGTTTGGACTAACAATATATAAACATGTCATCTTGATAAGGTCAAAGATACACCCAAATGAAACCAAAGAAGACCATTGTGCCATTCTGTAATAATGTTTAGAATAAAACCTTAATTGAAACTGCCAATATCAAATTGTGAGCTGTTAGAGTATTTTCTATGCTAACTGCAGAAATACAATTAATTATCAAAATTTTATGAAATTTAATTTTTAAAGTAATAAGATCAGCAGCATATATTATCTATTTTTTATTAATATGCTTTTGACACTGATAATTTGTGGGCTGAGGTTTGTTTTATTGTTAAAGTTTTAAGAATTAGTGAATTTATTGCTGTTGATCTTTTGCTGTTGTTTTCAAAATACAATTTTGTTGATAATTCAATTTTGAAAAAAAGTATGTTGTTTAACATTTTAAATTAGTATACTTATCATTCTGTTGAACCGATTCCAAGAGGAATTTCTTACATAAAAAAGTTATCTGGGTAAAAAATATCTTAAGAATTATATAAAGAACTGACAGTTTGCATTGTGTTTCTAGAGATATATTGGAGACTGTGTTTGAAATTTAAAGATCTAAGACATGTCACATATATTTTCTATAATATGTTAGTTGATATTATGTACATTAAGAAGTTAGTGCTAACATATCTATATTTAGATATGTATTTATTGCAATCCAGAAAAAAAAATCTTGCTCACATATGTTTGTGTTATATTACTTTCATGTTAATTTGTATATAAAGTTTGTTTTGTGTTTTTGTTATTAAGAAAATGCTACAAAACTATTTTTTATACACTTTTTTTTCTAATGAGTAAGGGTCTGGATGGGGTTTACAGAAATGAGAATAATGGGCCATAAAGAAATAATTAAGAAAAAAATGAACAAAAAATTAAAATAGAGAATAATCAGGTACTAACACATACAGAATAGAGAATGATGGACAAAAAAATAAAAAAAAATAAAGAAATGAAGATCCTTCCTATCCAGACCCTCATGATTAAAGCAAAGAATTACAAAGTTTAGAAAAAAAAAAGAATAAGCAAATTATTGAATAAAATGCTAGATATTATCTACAGATTAAAACTTAAATAGAATAATATTATATGTCCTACACTATTGACCTGCACATACATTACAAGGAAAAGTTTTGATTGGATAAGAGGGGACTATCCATTTTGTTGGGTGAAAGTGATAAAATCCATTCAATCTGTAGTGTATGAAAAGGGTTACTTTATGACTTTGGCAAATGTCAGAAAATTTTATAAACACTTTTCATCTAACAATTTTAGAGATAAAAACAGGTTTTTAGTTTTACCCTTCAGTGGAGTATTATATGTATCCAAAATAACGTTGATAGTTCACTGTTTGGTGTATACTTTTCAAGAATTATGAATTTTCGACTGACTTTTGATAATGAACTGGATACCTGGAAATCTTTTTCATATTTATTGTGTTTTGTAAGGGTAGCGGAATAAAAAATAGATATTATCTGTGATATTTAATGTTTCTTTTATGTTTTATTTATTTGTTTATTGCTATTATAATGTTTTTCAACATGACAAAATATTTTGTACTAACTAAAAACATTCTTATTGTTCTAATCAAGGAAAAAATCAAATCTTTTGAAGTCTTGATTGCTGCAATATTTCTTTTGTATGTTATTATATCTTTATGTTTTATTTCTTGTCAATGTTTGAATGATAGAACAATTAAGTAGGACTACTTTTGAAATAACTTATTATAAGAAAAGGATGAAGCAAATTCCCTGGAATAATGTTGGTGGTGCTTCATTGTAGAGATGTTATGTTTCTGTGTGTGTTTTGTAAGATTGACATATATAGTGTCGTTGGGTTGTTGTCTTATTGATGTGTACCCCATATCTCTTTTCTAATGAGAGAATACATTTATTAAACTCATCTTACTTCATGTCATTTTAAGGACATTGTCATAAATGTCTTGGTTAGTATAAATATAGACTTCATAGTAAATTATTAAGCAAAAATGTTTATAACTTACAAGAGTAATTTAAATCGCAGAAAATAGATTAAAGATATTTGATATCCTTGAAAATAAATTTATTTTTAAATATAGCTTGTTCCTGAAAATAGAATTATCTCTAATTCTAAAAAACAAATAGTTTAAATATCCAATTTTTCAAAAAATTGCTAAATTTTCCAATGTCTCCAGAACCATAAAGCGAATATAAAAAAATGATTTATTTAAAATGATTTCTCTATTTGGTGAATATTTAGAAGTGTAAGCTTTATATTTCGCTACTAATTTAAATAGAAGGATTACCTCACATATATCTAAGGGCACAATGTTGATTGTTCTTTAATATGCATATAGGGACGGACTTTTTTTTTCAAATTTGTCATAAATTATTCATAATTATGTCGAAACAAGTTTTCTATATGTGTATCACTTTAAGCTGCAGTCTTTAAATATTTGAACTGATTGATGACATTGCATACTGTAAACCAAATTATTTTTGCAACTTCAGGAGTAGATAAGGCAAAAATAAATCATCACTAGATTGACAAACTTAGATCTTTTCTTGTAAGAATACAAAATTAGGTAAGAAAATATTGAAAATAAACCTCTGCGAAATAGGCTAGAATGGGCTAAACATGAAAAAAAAGTTGGTTGACAGTATTCATTAGGGAAATTTTTGTTGAGATCCCTTATTTGTAGTTTGCATGCACATCAATAGGGTTTTTTTACTTACCCTTTACCTAAGTTTCACCCATTAAACTTTTAAAAATTATTTTTTGTAATAATCTTAGTGTCAATTTTGACAAATTTCAATATTTAAATTGATAACATAGAATTAGATTCAGTAAAACATATATGTTACAGGTAGACAGTTGCTGCCCTCATCAAGTACTAGAACTACATTATATTTTCATATTTGTGCACAAAAATATGTACAAAACAAAGGATATTTCATTTTATGTAATAGTAACTGTAACAGGAACATGTCTCATTATGTAAAGTAGAATTGTATGAGATGGAGAGAACATTCCAGAAATAAAAGTAGTTTTTAAAATATTTTTAAAGTTTTCATGTTTATCAAAAATCTTGATATACTGTTTTTGTTTCTTTTTGATGACAATTATAAAAGTGGCATTACTGTCAGTGTTTACAATGCCTGGGTATCTTTGTCTAATGTCTGAAACAAGATAAAGTATTGAACCTGGTCTGTCATGTAAAACCATGTTGACCTATTGATGGCTGAGTATCTCTGTGTAATGACTGGAACAGTATACAGTATTGAACCCTGTCTGTCATGGAAAATCATTTTGTCCTATTGATGGCTGAGTATCTCTGTGTAATGACTGGAACAGCATACAGCATTGAACCTGGTCTGTCACGGAAATCATGTTGACAGGTTGGTCTTTCATGGAAAATGATGTTGACCTATTGATGTCTGAGTATATCTGAGTGTTGTCTGAAACAACAAACAGCATTGAAAGTTGTCAGTCATGGAAAATCATGTCTGTGTAATGTCTGGAACAACATACATCATTGCAACTCGTCAGTCAGGGAAAATCAAGTTGACCGGTTGATGTCTGAGTATCAATGTGTTCTATCTGGAACAGCATACAGTATTGAACCTTGTCTGTCATTGAAAATCGTGTTGATCTATTGATATCTGAGTATCTCTGTGTAATGTCTGAAACAACATACAGTATTGAACCTTGTCTGTCATTGAAAATCGTGTTAATCTATTGATATCTGAGTATCTCTGTGTAATGTCTGAAACAACATACAGTATTGAACCTTGTCTGTCATTGAAAATCGTGTTAATCTATTGATATCTGAGTATCTCTGTGTAATGTCTGAAACAACATACAGTATTGAACCTTGTCTGTCATTGAAAATCGTGTTGATCTATTGATATGTGAGTACCTCTGTGTAATGTTTGAAACAACATACAGTATTGAACTTTGTCTGTCATTGAAAATCGTGTTGATCTATTGATATCTGAGTATCTCTGTGTAATGTCTGAAACAACATACAGTATTGAACCTTGTCTTTTATTGAAGATCGTGTTAATCTATTGATATCTGAGTATCTCTGTGTAATGTCTGAAACAACATACAGTATTGAACCTTGTCTGTCATTGAAAATCGTGTTGATCTATTGATATCTGAGTATCTCTGTGTAATGTTTGAAACAACATACAGTATTGAACTTTGTCTGTCATTGAAAATCGTGTTGATCTATTGATATCTGAGTATCTCTGTGTAATGTCTGAAACAACATACAGTATTGAACCTTGTCTGTCATGGAAAACCATGTTTACCTATTGATGTCTGAGTATTATGGTGTAATTGCTGGAACAAATTACAGTATTGAACCTTGCTTGTCATGGAAAATCATTTTGACTTATTGATAACTGAGTATCTGTGTGTTATGTCTGGAACAACATACAGTATTGAACCTTTTCTGTCATGGAAAATTGTGTTGATCTATTTATGTCTGAGTATCTCTGTGTAATGTCTGGAACATCGTACAGTATTGAAGACCATGTGCAAATTCCATCACAGGCGTTAGAAGAGTAATACAGGTAAACCCGTGCCAGGGATGGGGTAATCGTAATCGATTGTAATTGGTTACATGTTTTCAAGTAAGCGACAGTAATCTTTAATTGACAACATTTTCGATTACATGTAATCGTAATTTAATCGATAACAGCAAAAATTGTGATGTAATCATCGATTTCTTATCGATTACATTTCGATTACTTTATTAAATAGTTTGATGAAATATAACCAGTTTAAATGAAAATAGACAACTGAATTTTTAAGTTTTATGTATAAATATGACGAGAATTCTATCATATACCTTATTCCGATCTATTGTCTCAAGCTGCATTATGTTCAACCAGATCTTCTTTCTTTATTTCTAGCTTTTGAAACAAAAATGACTTTCAATGCTTGTCAATACATTAATAAAAACCATTTATATATTGAAAATAAGCAATCAGATTAAAATGATTAGATACACATTTGATTCATCATAATTTTATGATATAAAGATTAAGAAAGTATACAAAATCGTATTGACAATGAACAAA